CGTCGTCGCCGCCGCCGCCGCCGCTGCCACCGCCGTCACTGCCGCCCCTGTGTTCCCCGCCCCCGCCGCCGGTACCTCCGCCGTCCGCAATGCACAGGCCGCCGCCGCCGCCGTACCCGGACGCGTACTGCACCAGACGGGCGCCTCCACCGGACCCGTTGACCACCGGACTGCCGCCACCGGTGCCGCCGCACCAGACGGCCGCCGCCGACCTGCCGGCCATACCCGAATCGTCGCAATGGGACGACCCGCACCGCCGCCGACAACGTCGCCACCAGACGCCGCTGCAGAGGAACGGCTCGTCCAGGATCAGCGGCAGGAGCGCGTTGGCCGGCAGGACCGTTTCGACGGCCAACACGGGCACCATCGCGGGTACCACGGCTACAGGCCATTCTCGCCGCGAAAACCAGGTAATCGCACGACGTTTCGACATTTTTCCATATTTCTGTACGCCTACACGGTGTTAAGCGGACGGCTAAAAGGATTCCGAAAACATAACTCGCACGTGAACGCGACGCAGGAATGTAGGGATCGATAGATTTATTTCGGAAAGTAGCTTTTAAAGTTAACAAAAACGATTTGTTACTTTATGCTTTTCAAATGGACAACGGAAACGTAACGTATACGTCACGTTTAATAAGATTTTTTTGAATGGTGGCCGAGCAACTTTGCCTTAACGCGTGGTGAAATTAATCCACGACTAAAGTTTACGTTCACTTTTATGCCCATAAGTCTCAACGTGATCAACGAAAATCATTTACATCTCATTAAATAATATAAAAAAAAAAATAACCAAAGGAATAATGTGCGAGCTTAATATCCCCTACAAATGTGTGACGCATACATTTTAAAATACGTTTTTAATGCAGTGGTACCATTTTAAAAATTGATGACACTCGACATCTAGATGAAACAGTGCATACAGTATTAATATTAACCATTGTTAATTAGATACATCTAAACAAACGAATCAAACAAATATTAAGGTAAAAATAAAAAATTATTATAAACATTGCGCAGTGTATGACGATACAAGTTTTTTGTAGGAAATAAAATCAATACCGAATAATTTTCAAGTATTCAGTGTACTGTTTACTAAATTTAATTAGAAAAATTTTTAAGAAGCGTACTGAAACTGAGTTGATATTTTTCATATTTCAAGATTAAATAATAATTACAACGTAATAATCATTCATGATTTTCGTATAATCGACTAAAATATATATAAAAAATAATGATTTTTTAATATTTAACTATTAAAAAAGATGTTATCATTAATACATAACCCACCACAAATACGTGCAATAAACGTATGTTATTATGTTTAAATTCTATACAACCTACTACAGTCTGGCTTCGTAGGTAAGATTGTAAATTTAAAATCCACGCAGATTTAAATTAAATTAAAATATAATTTTCAAGTCACGTTTTCGCGTGGTTCGTCTACAGTGTAGACTCTACACCATAAGATTATATTGATAATCGTAGACTATAATAAATATACGTATTAATACTATTATATGACAATAGTCGTGATGTCAATATATTATGTATTCTGATCTAAATCTGTTTATAAAAATTATTATAGTGCATTGTTATAGACTTTTAAAGATAAAGTAAACATATTTTCGTCTGAGAAGAATATTTAAACAATCGATTTTTATTTTTAGACAATAACTAAATTACTTTAACAATACATAATTGTTTTTATATGTTATGATGTTTATTTGTATATAATTAAAAATAATATATCGGTATATTTTAATACTATTCGGGTGTATCTACATATTTGGTATACATATATATGTATGCACCGATTATTTTATTTTTCGAATGCATTGCTATTTCTTTTCAAATCATTTATTATTGGGTTTCCCACAGATATATTATAAATTATTTATTTGCATTTAAATTCTTCCAAAACCACTGAAAATCAACACTAACGAAGATTTTATTTTTTATTTTTGCAAACGTTTTCCCTTGGCCTACAAATTGTTCTCAATTCATATTTAAAATTTCGAATAGAATTTAAAAAACAAAAGTACTTTGTCAACTCAAACTTGTCATGTTTTTTTATGAATCGTCCAAACAATCATAGAAGAAAACTTTAAAAATACAACATCGTTTTACAGTTATGATATTTTGTTCACGTCATTAATTACCTCTTAACAATCTTCACGTCTCATACAATGTACTTGCCAGCTTTAGCTTATGCAAATATATAATAGTCGAAAATAGAGTTAACACATTACGTTTAGAATAGACAACAAACTGGCGTGTGATTGACACTTGGGTACGTTAGTGAAAGATACGAAAAAATAAAAATCTCCGTGCCGAACTCTCGTGCGATGATATGCTCTAAATTATGCAATGAATAACATTTACTCCAAAGAAGGAAAATCTTTGAGTGCGCTGGAGAAAAAGTGTGTTTATCGTATTGAATTCCCACGGTCGGGCTCATTTATATTCGCTAATAAAAACCACCGAAAGCTTCGCATTGCTTTCAGCAACGGTCATTTCAACGTGTCCGTATCAAAATAATTGGAATCGGCCGTCAGAACGTAATGTAGATGCACACGACATTATGCGCACAATGACTTGTTGTCGACGGGAAGTACTTCGGGAAATACTCTTCGCGTACCGCTGCACACGAATCTAGTACGCTTTGTTCCCTAACCTACACGACGCGTACACCTAGCAGACACGTATCCAAGGGCGGGGGTTCGTTGAAGCCCCCTTGAAATGTTTCCGTACCTGCCCCCCATGAACGATGATCCTTTATGATTAGAATGTAAACGAAACGTTGTCGATCCGAAAGATGGTTAAAAATTATATTTTCTTCTCGATTTAAAAACGGTCCGATTGTCGGCCGGCGAAGAAAATGCAACTTTTTTCAACACCCCATTACACGGGCGAGACGAAAAGGAACGAAAAAAAAAAAAAAAAACGGGCCATTACTCGCGTCGTAACCGTTGTACCGCGCTCGTATCAGAGACTTACCAGAAGAGGAGGGGGGGCATATTAAATACTAACCGATAATAATTGTTTCCCCAAATTAGTACTGAGACCCAGTGTACGACTGCGTTCCTATATTACGACTAACACACCTAATGTTGATGTCATGGTTTTTAGTGCAAAATAAAATTTGTTAGGTAGGTATCCAATTAAACAATCGGGATTTTACAGTTCACGAGGACTAAAATGTGTTAAAAATTTTAAATTTTCAATAATCCTGACGGGGGCTGGCACGGCCCGGCTCGCATATCCTGCACGCGCATTTGCCTACGTGCGACACATTCACGTTTTACGCGTGCACGCAAGACACGTTCCGGATTCGACTAATGATCGGGTTACGGTTACAACAATAACGAAAATAACAACAACAATATCACGCCCACTACACTCCGCAGTGTGTACGCGTCGTAACCTTCGAGATCCGCGTCCTCGCGCGCGCACCACTCTCCAGCGGTACACAATGCACACGCCGCACACGTTCGAATAATACCATCGCCGCCGCGTAAGCCTATTCAAACGAAAAACTACTTTTTGACACCTATAATAATATACGTTATTAATACATGCGCATAACAATGATTGTACCGGTCGTACGTGACCGCGCGCGCACCGCCTGTATACCATGGGCCGGTCTCCGACGCGGCTTTGTGCGTAATAATGACAATTTCCGTTTCCGGCTGTACGAAAACCGCACATGTCGCTTTCGTTTGCGGCCCCAAAGGCGTTCGACCGACCCGAATCGATACACGTCTCCTCGTACACGCATGCACGTGCATTGTAAGCGCAGTAATGTAAGCCGTCCCTGTGGGCCGTGTACATTTTGTACGATGTTAATTAAACTTGCGTTTATCTGGTTCCGAGCGAAATACGACCAAACGCGCAAATGACCTGATTCATTCCGAAACAATAGAGAATTGTTGAAAACGTCGAGTTAACTCGGTTGAATATGCCAAACAAAACGGATGCACGCAACTAGATTAAGCTTAAAACACGGATAAGAACTTGTTTATTTTTTCGAACCCGTGATTTGACCGGAATACGTCCCGTCGTCTTATTAGCATTTTTAAACGTGTGACGAATGAAAATCGAATGATAAAACCAAATGCAGCTGAAATATGATCTGTTCTTACCGTCCTCCGCCCTCTTCGGAAACCCTGGAGCTGTTTGCGAAACCTAGATTATAAATAGCGATAAAGTGTGTCATTATTATTCCGCAGGATGCGAAAAACGACGGCAACTGTTTCTACACGTTGCCCCGGGGTGGCGGCAAGGACCTGTGTTTCAGAATAATGACGGTCAAGTTCCAGAAAGGCCCGGGCCACAAGTGCTTGGGCTTCAGCATCGTGGGCGGCACGGACACGCCGAAAGGCACGATGGGCATCTACGTGAAGACTATATTTCCGAACGGGCAAGCAGCCGACGTGGAGTCGCTAAAAGAAGGTAAGAAAACGATTTTGATTTTCAATACTCATATTGTACGCGAATACGAGTGTGCGCACTACGTATAGTTTTCAGTACCGGCTAACGATAGAATTGTTTTTTTCTTCATTACTAGGCATTGGTGATTTTTTAATTCACTGTCGAGTAGATAAAGTATCCCTGATAAAAACTCTGGCATTAATTAAGACTAATAGTACATCATTATTTGTCTTCGTCCAGAGACTTCTGTAGTAATTCCGACCTCGAGTAAATATTAAAAAAAAAAAAAGAGAAAAAGACAGTAACGGCCAAACGCATGTTTCATTCACGTATTTGATGTTTAGTATGTACACTATGGTTATGGTAATAATAATATTTAAACACATAATATAAGCGTGCATCTGGATTTAAGGAAATTCGTACAATTCATACAACACCAAACACGTCGAATTTCAATTTTGAAAAATAAACAATTTAAACGACCGAATGGAAATAAAATGTTAATTATTCAATTAAATTGCATGTACTTAATTGAATAAGTCCGATCGAACAATTTAACTTTCGCAATACAAATGCAATATATAGATGTGCAGGACTTGGTTGGTTTGAGTTATAATTACGTATATGTATTATGCTGTGTAACAATAATCGGCTGTCAACATTCGCGGATAGACAGTCGCGAAATTTTACGCATCTTGAGATTACTGTTAAAATTGCGTCCAAAGTTAGGTTTCTTCAGGAAATCGCACCTCAATTCGAATAGCATGCAAACATTCGTCACTCAAGAGAAAAGAAAATGACATACGGTTACACAGAAACGATCTGAAACTTGTCAATGCACAGCGATACGTTTTACAATAATCGTATAACATGTACGCTCGGCAAATTATTTGTCGAATACATTTTCGAAAACCCCCGTGAAAATCAAAACATCCCGTGTATCAAATCCGTGAGCGATTTTCACTCTGTAGATTAGGATTGCGTTTGGAAGCTTTGCCTTCAGAATCTGAAAATGATAATACTAATAATGTGCACGTAAAATATTATGCTCGACATGCAAACGAGATACGCGACACCGCGTGTCGTGTACACGTGCACTGTATACGGTATCGTTGTATCGGAATAGACGTAACGAAATAACGCGTCCGTAAACCGAAAAGGAACTCGGAAAACCCGGTTTTGTCGAATCCTTTTCGGCTGTCGAAACGGCACACTCGGACTTTTTAAACATTGAACCAACGGGGGCGTGCAAACGTAACAAGCGCCGGGTCTGTTTGTTCTCTATACCGTTTATCTCTGGCGCAGCTGTCGTTTCAAGGACTGACACGAGTTCACTTATACTCTCGTACGCACGCGCACATCTGTTATTGAGTTTTTTACGACATCACTTTTTTCATGGTGTCCTCGTCACTGTACACATGTACATTATCTCGATTAAACGGTAAAACGATTAACCGTAATAAACCTGTCGCAACAACGAAACGCCATCGACTGAATAATTATACGTACTGTATGTGTACATCATGCGCGCTTAATATGCATACATATTTGTCTGTACGGTGTACGGATCCCCGTGACGAAAAACTGCGAAATCGTCTTCAGAACATTCGCCGATGATGACATTATTCAGTCAAAAACAATTATCTTTCTATGCCCATTTGCCCATACCCGTTTTTACAATACGTATTACGGTTTCGAATTTCTAAGACAATCACTTTTCGTTTATCTTTTTGCATATACACGTATAATATCATAACGCGATTACGGTTTTATTTTTTTTAATTTAGTTGTTTTTCGTTTAAAGCACGCGAAATAACTGCGCACATGCCAACCATATCTAGCCCGAGCGTACTGCGCGAACGACTTTAAACTGCGCGAATGCCTGTCCGTATTCTTGACTATTATATTATTTTACAGTAATTATCAAACCGGTGTATAATATAATGTATATTTATTTTCCGCTGGATTCCGGTGATAAAATTATTTTTATTACTCGCGAGCGGTTAAACGCCGCGAACCGTAACTTTTCCAAATTTCGAAATGCATTATAATAGGTACACTCATATGTTTATTTCGTCCGCCGTCGCATGGATTAGTCAATCGAACTACACATATAAAACGAAATCTCGTCAAATAGATGCACTGAGAATAAACGAAAACCCAGAACTCTCGCGCACGCGATGTAGTACGACTATAATTATATTATAATTTATATACGAATATAAAAAACGGTCCAATTGACATTCTGCCGCGATTATCCGCAACGAATATTATGTAATAACCGGATTTTGTTAAAAATTAACACGAGCAACCAATGTTTGTTTTCACGTTTCATCGTTTTACCTATAGATTCGTCGTAATTTCATCCAATCGAACCGTTCAAATAGTAACGACCCGAGTGCCCTTGTATTTTCATCGTAACTTCATTGGTTCGTGTATAGAGAAACCGCATATTCTTAAACGTTAACTATATTGTATTAGTGCTTATAAATGCATAAGATTAATACAGTTGTGCGGCTGTGGTTTTCGAATACATGACTCTCAGGAAATACGTTTCAGACACTGTGGACCCCCAACTCGATGTAAAGAAAAAAATAGAACGTAATATTTTCCTCGGGTCCTAATAAACACATTAAAATATAAATGTATACAAATTATCGCTTTAATTCTACTAGCCGGACACGTTTTTCAACGGAAGTAGAAGTAATATACAATTTGAAGTTTCCATTTCGTTTTTAAACGAAAAATCCCGCGGTGACCGAATCGTCGGGGGGGGGGGGGGGGGGGGGGGGGGGGGGAGGAGGAGGAGACTTTAAATCCGATTACGATTGTTGTTGAAGTCGGGAGACCCGGTGGTATAGCTGCGTGCTGAGGTAGATTAAGAGGTCTGACCGCGTTTCCTTCGCGTGCATTGAATTTGTGAGAAAAACACAATTCGTCGGGCGGCACATGTACTACCAGCAGCGGACAGGCTCGTCCACGCGCATTCGTAATTAAGGTGTACATAAAGGAAAAAAAAACGCACCCATTTATGCGCCCGTAATACGTTCGTATAATATATTATATTTACACACACACACACACACACACACAACAATAATAATCGTAATAAAATATGTTTGCGCTCGTGTGTGTGCCGGGTTCATTGCGCTTTTACCGCTGGCACGTCCTGCCCAATGCCGCTCATACCCGTAGTTTTCGTCGCCGCGAAGCCGGTCCGAAAGACGTGAGTCACACGCGTCGTATTCGTCGTGCGCACACAATACGAGACGCGCGCGCATAAATAATTCATACGGTCACACGTGAACACGTATTTACATATTGTATTCGTACACACGATAATGCGTGTATCCGTAAACGTGTGGATTTGATACGATATTATGTTGCGGGTAACGATTTTGCACACGTGCGCAGCGAGTACGGCGGTGAGTGTTGTGTACGCGAAAGCGAATACACATTGTATCACACGACCACGTAACCGTTCCGAAGATCTTTAGCCGCCACCGAAACCCCGAAGTTAGCCACGGAAGTTGTGGTGGACAGTACGCGGGTTAGGCGCCCGAGTGTGTTTACGCGCTCGGATACGTCCCCGGAGTCGTGTCCTGTTGTTCGCGCCAAAGCCCTGGAAACATTGTTATTGGACGACCGCGAAAACGTGTCCGGAATTCAATTCGACCGTCTTGTAGATAGAATTCATCTGCCCCCAACGTAATTCTCTTTGATCGCTCTTCGTGCACGCTAAATATGGTCATCGTTCGAGTATTTTTTTTTTTTTTTAACCAGCGCGTAGGCGTATTGGTCAAAACTCATCCTGTATTCAAAAATCTGGAGCCGAGAAGCAGTCCGAAGCGCGGCGATTATGAAAATTCGGTGTTTCAACTACTATTTTTGTTTTACTCGAAAACATGCGTACATCGAGCTTTTCGACGTTTTAAATCTCTTTTTATGATGAAGTTTCGTGGTGGAGCACACCTTGGCTAGCGAAACTAATACATTATATTAAAATCTAGCTAAGAAGACAGTAGTTTCAGCGTAAAGTTTTGCCACCGCTGAGAGTATGAAAAATATTTGTACATGTAATTGTTAAACAATTCCAAAACCTTTTGATGGCTGAACAAAATCACGGTCACTCATCTTATCCCTAGTAAAAAGCTCCTAGACTAATCCTAGAATCCTAGACTCGCATTGAATTCATTAAAACGAAAGATTCGTAACCAATATCTATGAAACTTACAGTAAAATGTACCATAGCCTTAATACCGATAATTTTTTGAGAATAAAGTCTCTCTTACTTTGTGATTCTCAGTCGGTACGTTTTTGAAATTACACGCATATTGCTTTACAACGTTTTCGATTTTCACCCTGTGCTACGCTGTCTTTTCCAAGATCTCTTTACACGTTTCACACTTCAAAGGGCGGTAGCTGAAGGTTTACAAACTAACCTTTTCCGAGAAAGGTTCGTCAAAAAAGAAAAAAAAATGTCCATCAATCAAGTACCAATTGTACTCTACAGATGTCCATATTATAAAGCGAAATATTATTATTATTATTATATGTAAATGGATGCACCGCAACAGAATTCTCATTTAAAACGATTCGATTTTAAAACACAAAATTCGTCACTGTAAACGTGATATGAAATAATATGAATAATACATGGGTCTCCACCTACTACGGTCCGCGGAACAGTTCCGGCCCGTTAAACTTTTCAAACCGGCCCGCCAAGTTAATTAATATTTTTTCAATATAACTCCAAATCTGAAAAAATGTGCACAAGAAATGATTTCAATATTTAGCTCCACATACTTATGTGAACAGACGCTTTCGAAAATGAAACGCATCAAATCTTAGTACGTAATTAACAAGCGACGATCATTTACAGACGACGCTGTTGATTGGAACAAAAAAGTTTGACGCAAACTATCAAGGAATTTTAATATACAAGTAGCTTCAAACTTTTCATTAAGTAACTTACTAGCATCTCAAAAAAAACCAAATTTTAAACTATGAAAATAAAAAAT